TTAATTTTTTCAATCCCTACCCCCCCTTTTTTTTTTTTTTTTTTTTTTTGCAGATTTGCTATAATTCATTCACATTGAGGAAGAAAAGATTTAGGTGTGTAAATTGTTTTACTATTTCTCTGAACTCATGGGTTGTTTGGAAAAATCATTTATCATCTTGGTAAATTACTTCCAACATGAAGCCTTTGTGTTTGTTCTCCTTCAGATAACACATGATGCATAGTTGAAAAAGTTGCCCTGACCTGGATACTGTTAACACTGTAGACATGGCACCAGCTAAAATATACATTGCCAAAGTGAAGGACAACACAGTACATCAGTGGTCTGTATTTTTCATTTAATGGCTCAGAATTAAGTATATCCACCTTTCACTTCCTGCTCTGGGTGTCCATCCATTACAGTGCTTTATGAAGGGTGTTTGTCACACTCTCGTTTAGTGTAGCAGAGGGTTATATTGGAAAAGAGACACATATTGACCTAATGCTCACTATTGTGAGTTATTAAAGAGGAAAGGCCTGGAATTAGGACATTGACCATAATTGTTACATAACCCTCCACACCATAATATATATATATATATATATATATATATATATATATATATATATAATGACTGCATGCCTTGCATGCAGTCATTTTAATGGGATTTCCTTCAGCAGAGAGGAAGATGTGAAAGCACCTGAGAAGAAAACATTGTATGAAAAAACTATATATACTCTACAATGTAAATATGATTTACTTACAAAAGTGAAATGCTTTGTATAATCGATAAACAAGCTTTTGCAATGGTATTTTTTGATGATCCAGCCTCTGTAATGAACTTTGAGTTTGGGAGGCCTCCTTGCTGTCAGCCTAACCTTTAATTCTCTCATATTGAATTTGAAAAACTTTAACATGCTAATGTCAATATTTATCGAGGTTTGTTATGAAAAGCATTGTACTTGAGGACCAAAATCTCTCTGATGGACAGGAGTGGTGGTATCATCATTAATTAGTAATTCATTTGTTCTCTCTGTTTAATATTCAGATTGAATGGATGTGTGCAGACGCTCAGTGTGGATGTAATTGTACATGACTCCGCCGAGTGGTCAGTGAGACTTCATGAGTGTTATATG